CACAGTATAAGCTTGCCCATGCACTGCGCTTGTGACTCTCCCTCTTTCGCTCCCTCTCTCTCTCTCTCTTTGTAAAGGAGTAACCCCTTCTCACCCCAAACCATGAAAAAGTTAATTATTCAAGTGAAAAGGGCATGGCTAACGGAGTATAAATGCAAACGCAGTATAACTCCTCTTTCGCTCCCCCCCCTCTCTCTCTCTCTCTCCCCCTTTCTCTCTTTGTAGAGGAGTCAAGACCTGCTCGTTTGCGCTTTCTGTTCTTTTTGTTGGATGAGAAAGTGCGATGGTTGCTCCCTTGCCGATTTGATGCCTAAGGAGCTCTCAAAATAACAGCTTCGTGGCTTGGTGACTACAAGGCTGGAGGGCCTGAGACTGCAACGGCCGGAGCTTCAGCTGAAGGCTGATCAACGGACATGTCATGCACCGTGCCCATACCCAGCGGAAACATCAGCCAGACACACTTGAGCGGGCCAGGGTTTGTCTGTCCTGATCAACCACCAGCTGTGGAACCCTCGCAAATCCGATCTTTGTTCTCGGATGTGGGGAGGAGGTGCCTGGTATCCAGATACAACGTTGGCTGGATGATCAACTTTTAAAGCCAGAGCTCGTTCGACGGTTCAACGCGTTGACAATACAGCACTTTGGTTGGGTGACCCGGTGACCCCTATAAGTATTTGGGCCATTCCAATTGGACCCGAGGATGCAATGTATGGCAGGAGAGTGTGAACTACGAAAAATGCCCAATGGATCGACATAAAACACACCCACACACACAGACACCACTGCCCACTGATGATAAAGATATCAGTCTTTTGATTGAACAATGCCAGTAGACCAGTCTGTTCATGTCCTGTTTGTGTGCGACTGACTGGCGCTAGAGCTTGGATCCATAGGCCATGTGTTAGGCATAAAGCTTGAGTGAGTCCTACAAGCGCGAACGCATGGCCCCCATCTCAAAGAAGTGCTAGTCAGCGTCACCACAGGTGTCTCTGCGACCAGATCTCTACCGGTCGCTGCCAGGACATCATTCGGAACACTGCTGCTTGGAGCAGATGTTTCTTCCGCTGGACACGATCGGACGTAAAACAATAGTTTTGAGAAACCTGGACCAATTGGAAGCAACGACGTTGAGCAACAAATATTGAGATTGACTTTCAGACTCGTAGCACCACGTCTTTGGTCGCAGTCGCAAGTTCGTTTAGATTGTTTGAGGGGATGTCAGCATTTCGAAGCTGACTTCTTGAGAAATCGAAGTCAAGCACGACCTTTCCAGCTTCGGAATGAAAGCGTAGTCTGAGCGCACTATACTCTGTTTGGGCGGAGCGACTGGACTGAACACGGTTCCGAGTCGGGGAAGCCCGGCGTGTCTCTACGATGCCACCCCCCCAACCCCCTGAAACTGGTTTCTGGTTGAACATGCATTGCAATTTGCAACTTCACTGCCTCTACACTGTACCCAGCGCTTCCAAAACGTGTCCATGCATGATTCCATGGGTGGCCCCGACTGGGTTGAAGCAGGAACCATTCCACCGTCGACAGTCGTGGACCGTGGGCCGTGATATGGGACCGTGGACGATTTTGGCAGCCACAGACGCTTTTGTAGAGAGGGATCTATTTTTTCATAACTGCTTGTCGGGGCAGAAGTGCCGGCCACTGAATACCTGGAACTTCGTTACGGCAATAATAATTGCCATTTTCATGAAATGTTGCCTTTTTCCGTCCTGCGGCGATATTAATCTCATGGGGACGGCGTTTCTTGATGAACTGCGGCAGTTGCGGTCAGTTGACGGCAATTTTGGTCCACACATCCATGCGCCTCAAAGAGTCATTTCTTTTTTGCGCAGGCAAGAATGAAGACATTGTAGGGTCTTGCTTGAAAGGCGACTGAGCATAAAAGGCATTTGATTATCATCTAATATCGGCAAATTTGCATAGTCGTGCGAAGTGGAAAGGGATAAAGTCGAGTTCCGCAACTGCGCAGGATTCCGCAACTAGGATTCCGCAACTGTTTGGTCGGATTCCGCAACTGGGATTCCGCAACTGGGATTCCGAAACTAGGATTCCGCAACTAGGATTCCGCAACTAGAGTTCCGCAACTAGGATTCCGCAACTAGGATTCCGAAACTAGGATTCCGCAACTGTCAAGATTCCGCAACTAGGATTCCGCAACTAGGATTCTGCAACTGGGATTCCGCAACTGGCGTTCCGCAACTAGGATTCCGCAACATTGTGGACTCCCTCACTAGGATTCCGCAACTTTGTGAATGATGAGGGATGTCGAGATCACACGATGGGGACAAGGGGGGGTGGGGGGGTTGGGTGGGGGGCTAATGACGTTGGTTTGGATGTGCTTCGAAGGTGATGTCACAGGCACACACGCTATCGCATGATGTGGAGATCACCAGTTGCAAGTTTCAGAAGGCAAGTTGCAGAATCTGACTTTCCAGTTTCAGAATACCAGTTGCAGAATCTGACTTTCCAGTTTCAGAATACCAGTTGCAGAATCTGACTTTCCAGTTTCAGAATACAAGTTTCAGAATCCCAGTTTCAGAATCCTAGTTTCAGAATCCAAGTTTCAGAACCCTAGTTTCAGAACCCCAGTTTCAGAACCCTAGTTTCAGAATCCGACCGATTAGTTTCCGAATCCGGCTCTAACCAAGTGGAAAGGGCAGCTGATAGAAGTGTCACATGCTGGCTTTTCGTCGGTTTTCATGAGTAACTCGACCTCTTGCGCGGCATTGCAGAAGATTTAGCATTTTATGTTACGGCGTTCTTATCCTCGTACGAGAAGGGCCTATAAAAAGTAGGGCCCTAGGGCCCAAAATCAGGGGGTCATTCTATAGAGATGTATTTTTTTGAGCCTGGACAGGCCCTATGCATGTTATAGAAAGGCAAACATAGACGTATGATTGTTGAGATGTTGCTTGCAAGACCCTGTCGGTTTATAGATGTACATGTGCATTTTTTATTTCCACATGCTTTTTGGCTGATGGCACTCTAAAGAGACTCTATAAAGTGATTTCCAGGGGTCGTGATGGAATCTATTGCTGCCTAGCTGGGCCTGGGCAGAACATTCTATAGAGGTCATTGCTTGGACACTGATTTTGGATGTCGTGTTTTCTTTTCCTCAAAGACCCTCCCATTCTATATAGCATCCCTTTTATAAGCACCAGGCATTCTATAGAGATTTTTCAGAGGCTCAGCGTTTTATATCTATAGAATCCCTTGTCCAAGCCCTCCTGGCGTATTCTTACAGGGATGCGTTCTTGCCGTACTTGCGGCGTTTTTCCCCGTACTTACGGCGTTTTCCCCTGTACTTACGGCGTTTTCCCCCTACTTATGGCGTTGTTCCCCGCACCCTCTCTGAAGGAGACTCCAGGTGGCAGAAAGACGTGTCACAATCGATTGTTTCAGCCATTGCGTGATCAAAATGTGAACTATCGAGAGCGTAGACAAGGGCTGTAACATCTTGAGAAGTGCTACCATGAGGATTGAAAACGAAGAGCTCTACTTGCAAGTGAAATAAGAGAAGGGAACTCCAGGGTATGGACGGACCAAAACAAAATACTCTTGGTTGATCAAACAAAACGGCGATTCTTCTTTTGTGACGGCGTTTTCACTTCTCTGACGGCGTTTTCACTTTCCAAGGATTGAGCTACGGCAGAATAAATGAGTTACGGCAAAAATAATTGCCTCAACAACCTACGGCAAAAATTATTGCCTCTGGAGGGTCTAGGTATGTTACAAATCTATGTTTTTTGAGATTGATCTGTATATATTTATTGTTGGTCCGGAAAGAAATAGCTGGCCAGAGTCGATTCTTTCAGACCAAGGACCTTGCTGCCTTCCGTGGAGGTGGATTGTTTGACCACGACCCAAGCAGCGACCCGAGCGCGACAGACCAGTTTCGTCAGTCATCGCGAGAGAAACCGAAACCTATACCAGGATCACGTGGAACCATGTGGAAAACTGTTTTGGGATGGTTTGGGAAATCAAGGGTCTATCCAGGGTCTCAGATCTTTCACTTTGAAGGGTAGTGATGAAAATAAGGAATAGATGGATAGAGGATAGAAATTGATGAAAGTCCCCTTGCTCATCAATGTTTTTTTGGGGAGAGGATGTAAGAGGAGTGAGTGCGTTCCACAGGGTCCTTTGTCAGGCTGAATGCGGTTCATGTTCCGATTCACCATCCCACCGGAACCATCCTGTCATTCTGTTCTGTTCATATATCGACTTTATACAAGAGCTTGTCAACAATGACACTGACATTGTCATGGCACGCACCAAAGACAAATATGTCAAGACGTTTGCCAGTCTGCGACCTTTGACGCCCAGTCTGCTCACTGATGTACGTACCTTCAGTCGGTCCAAACGGCCTCGACCACCGGATCCTTCCGACGCTCCGCGGTCAGACGAGAAGACCCAGGCCTTTGTGCTGAGCATCGGCCCAACGGCCCCTCGGTGGCGCTGCTGGGGGACGCAGCTCATCCGATGTCACCCTTTAAAGGCCAAGGCGCCAACCAGGCGACGGGAGGGGGAGGGGGATGGAAGCCGATGGGTCAGATCTCCTACAGTTGGGTCACAAGGATGCATCTTTAGGGTCTTTCTCTGATCTGTCAACCTGTATTGATATGTAGAAGATTTGTGAAAGGCACCTTGGTACAAGGTTACTCTTACAAGGTTGCTCAAAGGTGACATCAGGTGTCCTGTCAGCTGCCTTGGAGACCATGTTCAGGGGTACCTGCAAGAGACGTACAGACGTATCATGGCGCGGCCGTTGTAATCCGGGTGTGTCTCGAAATGCTTTACATTGTTGCATGGCCGGGGGGTCTTACTAGGGTTTGCCTGTTTGCCTGTTTGCCTAGGTCCAAAATTGAAGCGCACCTTCTGTGTAGCTTGTAGATGAGGCCCCATGTTTATTCTAGCACCACTCAGTGACGGGGCCCCGTCTCCGGCGTGAGGCATTAATGGATGCCATCTTTTTAGCAGAAGCATTGAAGACCGCAAGGTGAGCCGGGTCGGAGACAGCTGTTTAGGGTGGGACTGCGTTTTCTGAGGGTCGCAACGAGTTGTACACATGGATGGGGAAAATGGTCCCTTGGAAGACGACTTTCCTTTGAGAACAGTTTTTTGCTTTGCACTTCCATGTTACTCAGTCGGAGTGTAGTTCAATGTGCGTAGTGTATGTATGCCCCAGGATTGCCACTCTGAGTTCTGAGTGTTTTTCATGCAATGCTTGACCAGTGAACTGCCAGTTCACTGACCAAACGCAGCTTAGAGAAGTAGTTTGCTTCCTGAGTTTGGTTCGAAGCACTTGGTACTCGGAAGAATCTGCAGTTGAACTGGTATGACTTGGATGTAGACCCTGTCAGCCTCTACCGGTTCTCATGCGCAGGGACACTGTTGGCTTTTTCCCAGACATGTTGGTTTTGTTACTTCCCACCGATTCATACGCCCGTTCGCGAACGCCAGCTCGCCTGTAATGCCGTGAAAAAAAATTGGGTCTCCGCAACTTCACTCAATTCACTCCATGGGAGTCCCGGTCGCTCCGATCCTCGTTCACCTCAAAACCCCCCCCCCCAAAAAAAAAACGTGGGAACACTGCCTTCTTGTTTTGGAGTGGCTTCTGCTTTCAGGACGTGTCAGAAAGTTTCACACGAGGTGACCTAAATTGGACCTGTCATAGTTAGGACCTTTTCTTTTCTGGTCTAACTATGAAAAAGATCTAAACGATTGAATCAGATCATTTAGATAGCTACATAAGTTAGTTTAGACCTAAGATAGCGAAAACGTTATATAGGGTGCTTATGTCATGTAGTTTAGATAGCTATAGATTATATAGTTTAGACCTTGTCAACTGCAGAATCGTTGTGCTTCCACCCGTGGTCGAAGAAGTGGGAAGACGCCAAGGGTCACTGATTGGAGACCAAACCCATCTTGCCTGGCCCCGGACTGTTTTGAGTATGTTTGTTAGCTTTGCCCTGTAACATCCCAAGCTGAGATCAGTTTATAGTCCAGTTCTGACAGATCTATATACATTGTCTTACCTTCCACACATGGAGGAAGTCTCATTGAAACCACAAGCCTTTCTGGAGAATCTGTTCTCCCACTGGACACTGCAGTTTTGGAGTCCCCACTGCCAGACATTCCCAGGGAAGCTGGACGGGTCGGGGCCTGAGCTCGTCCCCCCCGAAGAGAAGGAGACAGACAGGTCACCAACCATCACCAACGTCAACGGACCGATGGATCGGTAGAATCACCTGATACGGATCATCGCCGGCTTTTCTCACGCCAATCACATGGTTTGCGGTTTTCAAGCGGTGTAGAAGGACCGAAACGTCGAGATCGACATGTCAACTGGTGCAAAGGGCCACCTGCCGTTCTTCTCATGACTCAGTTTACTGACCGGGTAAACACCGTGTTTGTTGATGACCCATGACCCAACCAATTATCTATCAACCGCACCGGGCACCGTCAATAGCTTTGTTTTCCTCACTCAATTCACTGTAGGTGGCTTGGCATGGCTCATCCGGGACGGAGGACCATCACAGAGTCATTTAAGCGAGGAACAATTTGATCCGAAGGGTTCCCCACATCGAATGACAATGTTTGACTGACGCTATCGATCTTCCACAGGGAGGACGCACGTGCAACGTTGATACAAAAGCGTGACTAGACCAAGGTCCTTGATGGTTTCTATAAATAGTGCACGGCGCTGGCACTGGAACTGCCGCGGCCCTCTCCCTAACAATACCATGTGTTGTTGACATATTGAGATTGGAACTGGAACTGAAACTGCTGCCCCCGGTCAATAACAGTCTTCTCAACGGTGCAACTGTACATGGAACGGGAATTGGAACTGGGACAACTTCACCGGCATGGACAAACTTGTAGTCTTTTCATTGGAGCCGCGCAGGTTAAAATGCAATTAGTTAGACCACGTGCATAGGATTCCTTCAGAAATCAAAGATGTGCTGGAACAAGAATCTTGCAGCTGGAATCAAGGAAACACTGGAATTAAACAAACAGAGGACTAGAACCCTTCTAGCTACAATCTACCTGTACTACAGCATTCTGTGAGACATGAAAAAGGCGCAAACCACCCCTCAAGGCAGCAGTTTTGCCGTTGGACACGATGGAAAACTTGGAAGACCAGATCTAGCTTTGGATGGTTCTTTCGCTCCAACCATTTCCCCATATACTCGTAGCAAAGGAGCATGGAAAGTGAGACCTACGTCACCAGGCAAAAGGACAGCCAAAGGGGGGAGATGGACACATGATAAGGAAAACATGTTTGGATGAGTATGAGAAAGAAACAAACACGAAAAGGGACAGGTGAATGGCAATAGAATGTTGCCTGCAGGCGCGACCTATAGCAGCATTGTGGTTACTTATTACTGATACTGAACACTAAGCGGAGTAAACTACTGCAACGCATTTGTACAGTACTGATTTTTTGATGACCCATGACTTTCCGATTTTATATCCCATGCGTTTGGATGAGTTTCAGAGTGTCCGTATTTCTTTAAGTCGTCCTGTCCGACGAATTCCCCCTTCTTCGTGGAAGGATTGCCGTTCTCATGTAGCTCCTGAATCACCTTCTCGTACAAAGGAGTAGGAGTTACCATGGTTGCACGGGGGAGTTAACAGTTTAACACATCTGGTGTTCGTTTCCATTTCCTTTGCAAGGTGTTATATCCTTGTAGCTGTTGTAAACTGGTGGCCACACTGTTGGTAGATTCATGTACGTACGCGTTGTTCTTTTCTCATTTGGGCTCCAAGCCACCTCACCTTCTGGTGCCATGACTGAAGCTCGCAAACGCAGTGCTGACGGCCGGGTGCCGGTTAGCGTGCTGACAGGGTTCCTGGGCTCTGGAAAGACCACCCTGCTTAATCATATCCTCAAGTCTCCTGACCATGGCATGAAGTTTGCCATCATCGAGAACGAGTTCGGTGAAGTTGGAGTTGACGAAAAAGTCCTTTTGGAGTCCACAGAAGAGGAGATGATTGAAGTGATGAATGGCTGCATTTGCTGTACCGTGCGAGGAGACTTGGTGGTGACTCTCAAGAAGATGTATGAGAAGATTGACAAGTTTGATGGTGTCATCATTGAGACCACGGGGCTAGCTGACCCTGCACCGGTCGCACAGACCTTTTTTGTCGATGATGAGATCCAAAAGATGTACAAGCTCGATGGAATTTGCACTGTGGTGGATGCAAAGCACATTCTTCAGCATCTGGATGAAGAGAAGCCTGAAGGTGTTGAAAATGAGTCGGTGGAGCAACTTGCCTTCGCCGACCGCATCTTGCTCAACAAAATTGACCTGGTCTCTGAAGAGGAGCTGGGCGGCATCGAGGCCAGGATCAAGGCCATCAATTCGGAGGCCCCCATCTTCCGTTGCCAGAATAGTGTTGTGGAACCCAAGAACCTTCTCAATCTGGATGCCTTTAGCCTTGATCGCGTTCTCAAGATGGACCCAGAATTTCTGGACACCGAGGGTGAGCATCAGCATGACCTGACGGTATCGTCATGCAGCTGCAAGTTCGAAGGAGAATTGAATGTGAACAAACTACAACTTTGGATCAGTGAAATCGTGTCGAATCCTGGCACTGCCAATAAGTTGCCTCTATTTGTTCTACCTGAAAACCCCACATTGTGATGCATTGTGAATCTATATTGGGAATCGAATGGATTAGGAATTAGGATATGTTTTCTAGTGATTCTAGTGCTTTCTCACATTTCATTCAACTGGAAAAACTAACTAAGGAACAAGGGGAAAGACCTTTTCCGATACAAAGGAGTCCTGGCTGTAAAAGGCATGGACCAGAAGTATGTCTTCCAGGGCGTGCACATGCTGTTTTCTAGTATGGCTGAAATTGAATTAGCTTTTTGCTATATCACATGTTTTTCAGTTTTTTGTTTCTTTACAAAATAATGCTGTGTTGTTTAGATGTTTGTTTCTTTTGTCCCCAAGCTGGATCAGACATTTGTGATTTCCGTATACATGTTCGTTGCTTTGTATGCTTTCATCGAATTTCCGCTGTGGCTGGAGCAGTTCCAAGGTTTTCCGGAGGCTTCACAGAGAATCTTTGGCAAGAGGATGAAGTACGTGAGAATCGGTTCGTCTTCATTGGCAGGAACCTTGAAAAAGAGGCACTCCTTCAGGAAGTGAAGGCTCCGCTTGGGAGAAAGCATTATTCGAATAGGAGAAGAGGATGACCCACTGACAGGTCCTTTTGTTTAACGTTGGATGTCATTTTCAACAAGGTGTAGGGGAAAGAGAACCTTGTTTTCAGGCATGCAAGGTGGAGGGAGAGCTTCGCTTCAAGGTAGGTGATGAAGTGGAAGTTTGTGTGGGCGAAGATGCGTGGATGCCTGGCAAGATTGTGCGCTTGTGGGACGAAGGCAATCCCTATCGTATCGAGCTAGCAGACAAGTACAAGTCCAACGGTCATGCTCCTGTTGATGATGATGAATTTGTGAGAGCTCCAAAGACATAGTTGCAGCTATGTGGTGAGGTGGCGACACTTTCTGAGGGGTGAGTCTTCCTAGCTGTTGAACAGCAGCAGCAACTCTTGAGGGTTAGTTAGTTTTGTATTCTGACAAAGGCATACATATGCCTCAAGCCGGAAGAGAGGAGGTTTCTTCATGTTTCTTCAAGGTGACGGCTTCTGTAGGAACTAGCAATTCAGCAATCAGCAGCCCAAAACTGAGCAGAGACTCTTGAAGAAACCCACTCAGGCACAACTGTCTTGCATCCGCCGGACCCATCCTTCGGCTGACATGCCGGACCAATTCTTCGGCAGAAAGATCACAGGGTTGGTGACTGGGTGGCAGTTGCTTCTTCAAGTTGACATCACCAGCCATACACCATACACACCATACACACCATACACTGTCACTCTTACTGTAGATATAGAGCTCGGCTGGTTGAGCATTCAGTTAATGAACTCATCGATGCACTAGCTGAGGGAACGACGAAAGGGTCCAAGGAACAGAAATGTGGAACATACGCCTTAGCACTTTGACGGAACGCTACGAACGGGGCTCCTGGCCGTACGACTAGGAGCAAGTAACTACTCGTAACAAAGGGCATCGCTACTAGGAGCAAAGACGCTACTAGGGGCTCCTGGCCTTACTACTAGGGGCAAGAAGCTACAGCTGAAAACACCACAAACAATGGAGTGCAGGTACGTCGGAGTGATCAGCTCCAATATCCTCCCAACTGATGAGTAGCTTCGTTGGCAGTAGGCTCGTGAGTGGGCTACTGCCCCCTGCAGAATGTAAAGCTGTACAAGTCGGAAGAGTGACCCTTTGAAACAGGGGTTGACACACGCACACACACACACACTTGCTGCCTCTTAAAATAACGCTCAGAGTTCATTGCGCGCACGCACCCTTCAGCAGCTCAAGAATATTTCAAGTGCTGCCGAGTCCATTGCCAGGTCTGTTCAGTAGACGCCCCACGTCAAGTCCATTCAAATCGTTCATGTTTCCTGTCAATGCGCCTGGCGGGACCGGTCATGAGAGGAGAGGAATGTCCTGTCTCGAAAAACCTCTCATTCTCGTGGTCGAGACCATCGAAATCATGGTCCACCATGTCAATCTTCATGGACAATGGTGGTTATGATGTACCCTCCCGAAATAACAGCCATGACTCAGTGGACAATGGCGGACTGTCCACTTGTATGTTTGGAGGGTATTTCCATCGCTTCCATCCTTGCGGTGGATGGTCCGACTCCATGGGATCGTCCACGTGGAACAGGTCGGTCCTTCCCGAAAGGTCGGTCCGAAGCCGAGGCATTCAACATCGGTCCTCATGAGTTGGGTGGCTTTTTGCTGGAAATGGCAGGCAAATGTCTAGAGTGAGTCTATGGATTTTTGGACATGCAACATAACGGTCCTTGAGTGGGAGAGAGGTGTGTCTCTGCAAAAGTCCTCAGATGCAGAGGACTATGGATCAGAGGCAACCGGAAGGGTAGTGCACAGAAAGGGTTTTGCAAAAACCTGTTCTACTAACATCGTGGAAGGCGCGGGACATACGTAGAACCCAAGGCTATTCGTGGACAGTTCGTGGAATGCTGGGCCAGTAGGAGAACTGACTGCAACGAAATCCCAGAAACCTTCGCAGAACTTCGTGGAAGGTATTTTTGATGCACTAACTTCGTACAAACGATTTTTGCTGACCCCCTTTCTCCACACACCCTCCATTTAGCCTTCAATGGAAGTTCCATCTATGATATCTCTGTAGTCTTTGAACCCGGTGTGCTACGAGCGTCCGACGCTGGAGTGCGTGGGGCATTCTGCAGTGCCGAGGTTCCCGCTTTGATCCCTGGGTCGTTTTTGGTTCACTGCCGTTGTTACACAGCTGGACAGCAAAAGGTTGCAAATGACCGGAAGGCAAGAGGAGTGCACTGAAACCGACGTATCCTGAAATGTGAGTGGGTTTCAAACATAAGCAGACGCAGCAAGAGTTCTGGCCATTTCGTTATAACGCATGTCATGTCAGGTCGACGTTGCCTTCGGTCGACTTTGGAACTCTGCCTTCGGTATCCTTCGGTCTCTTGTGAAGTTTGTGTGGTTTTTCTCTTAGGAGGTGCTTGACAGCAGCCATTGTGAACACAACCTGTAGTTGGCAGAATACAGCAGGAGGAATACAATCATGCCCCCGGAACAGGTATAGACATCATTCTGGCTGCGTCCATGCTACTAAACTTGCAACGGGAATATTTTCAGAACCCACACTCCATCGAAAACGCTTTAGAGCCCATATAGAACAAGTACAGGTGCCGAAATGCTTGTTACATTGCTTCCTTCAGCAGGACTTCATGGTATGAAAAGAAAACAAGTAACTCTTAGAACAGCCTGATGCAGTTCTTGACCTCCTCTTCACATCCGAAGCATCCGTCCGTCCATCCCAGCACACCGAGATGCCACCGAGATGCCACCGAGTCGCCTGGGCGCGGCGCCGAGGCGTTCCTGGGCGAGGAGTTGCGCCGCTTCCACGCGGAGATGGCGCGCCGTGTGCGGAAGAGCGTGCCTGGGTGGAGTTCTTTGGTTTCCGTGGTTTCCTGGTAAGAAAGCGAAGCAAGAGTGCTGGCATGGCCAGACTTGGGGGTTGTGGTGTAGTGGAATGAGATGTTGGACTTCTTGATTTATGGCTAGGCTAGGGGTTTATGTTGGTGAGGTGTGTCATTTTGTTGGAGAAGACATGTGAGAACACAGAGAATCTGTGTGTACATGTTTCCACTTTGTGGTGGATCCTGAGATCCTTTGGAGGTTGTGGGTCGGTTGACCCCTCATCATCCCCAGGCCAAGCAGGACATATGAAAAGTGCTTGTTTGGGGGCCGGAGCTTGGCCAAAAATAGACCAAGTTGCTTTGCTAAGGGGCGGACTTGCAGTGCTTTGCTGTGTGCTGACATCTACATCAATGGAATCAAGACTTCTGTCCAAAGACCCCGGACCAACGCCTGGAAGCGCCTGAGCCGCGGTCTCAGCCGCCTGAGGTTCTCCAGTCGCGACAGAAGGTGGAGTACTTCCACAGCAACATCATTGACTTGGATGAGTTGCGCTGAAGGTTCGACAAGTCAACGTTGTGGTGCACTGGATGTCCAGAAAAGAGAAATCGAGGTTAAAGAGATTGCTAAAACATCTTACTGCAGACGTTGAGATCTAGACCTATACCCGCAGATGCTTTTCCGTAACCAGTGGGGTAGACCCGGATGCCTCATTTTCTGGTGACGCGTGGGGTCGGTGGATGTGATGTCTTGAACAGGTGGGAGAGCCGGAAGAGCGCACGACGGTTTGCGCTGGACGGTTTTGCCACTGAGGTTGTCTCAAGTCGCCTGCTCCCCACCTCTCAGAGGATCTCTCACTTGGTGCCCCTTTCTCCGGGCCCGTGTGGTATGGATCAAAGCCAAGCGTGTACAGGCGTGCCGTTGTCCTTCGCGGATCTGGGAATTCCCAACTGCCACAAGTTCTACGCATCAGTCTGGTGGATACAGCCCCTACCGTGACATGGAACATATAATAAGGAAACACCCAGGACATCGCTGGTCTAGAGGAACCTTGTTTTCCACGGGCCGATTTTGTCTGGTTCCTTAATCCTCTAAGCAGGGTCGGCGTATGGCTTGCTCACAAAATGACTCAGCGCGGGGTTCTGAGAGGATTCATCCAATTCATCTCAACAGCGCCGAGATCTTTGGTATTTGCCAAATCGCCAGATGTTTGAGTCCGTCTTTCCTCCTGTGGTTTAAGGACTGACCCCCTGCAGATGGCACGCCCAGTGGGCGAGTGTTGGTTGATTTGTGGATCCACGTGTGACACTAGCTGACCGGGGCTCAGATCGATGTACAGTGTACAGAACTGCTGATTGGCTCAGCATTTCGGGGAAATCAAGAAGAAAAGTGTTCGAAAGCTGAAAGGATTGGGGTCAAATCGCTGAAACGTGCTGTTTCAAACACAAGCACTGGTCAACTTTTTGCACTGCTTGCTCTATACAAGGGCTCGTGGTTGACTTTCCAGGTTTCATTTGTCTAAGAACCAGGAGTTGCTGGAATGGACTAGATAACAAAAACCTAATTTTACAGATGTTCAGACATAGCCTGTCCTAACTTAGTGCATCTTAGTGCCATAAATATATAGAATCTTATTTCAAAGCTTTCTTCAGGACGCATCATTGACGCGCCGGGCAGATCGTCTCCAGGAGCAGATCCGCACGCTCCGGACCCGCTTTGAAACGCGCGAGGCGCGAAACGCACGTGGGCGCTCATCGGATGAACTCGGTGCGTCGGTCTTGAAGAGGTCGTCAGTGGGCTTCAACAGGATTGGCATGGTGTCAAGAGAGTTCGAACCTCCCCCCAAAAAGAGAGCGAGAGAAACCAACTCCCAACATGAGAGGGGTAAGGGAGTGATGCTTGAAATAAAGGGCCAGGGTACTTATAAGGCCCGCATGAGGTACATCTGAAGCATTCTGAAGCCATACTTATCCTGGCCCTAGACCCGTTGTATATGTCCTGTTCCAGATCGTTTTTTTGGTGCCCAAAAACGACGGCCACAGACAGTGCCAAAGTTCGGCACGGTGCGCCCCGCCGCTTCGACGGGGTCGACGACCAGGAGCAGCTGCGTGACCTGGGCGAGCGCGTAGAGCGCAGTGATTGGGACGTGAAGCTCACGCAGATCCGCCAGGCAGAGCGACATCTGATGCCATGTTCGCTTCCATTGAGAGATGTAGAAGAAGTGCTCATCACCGTAGAGCTAGTAGATGGCAATAACCCGTGTTTACCATCCTATAGCCTAGATTTGGGGTATTGTACACTCCAAACAAACTATGCATCTAGACTTGTTCAGCGGAGGACACGTGTCCGATGCCCGAACTTCGAGTGGGGTTTTCTGAACCGAACTCCGAGGCGCTCCAGGAAGATTCCCAGCAGCGGACCTTGCAAAACGAACAGCTGGAGCTGCTCACCAAAAGGCCGAGTTCCCGGATGTTTCGGGCTTTGGGGGGGTGGCCTTGGGACTTTCCCCAAAAATGCTCCCACAACAGAGGTAGGACTTCCTCCCTCCTTGCCCACCAGGACCCATCCGGGACCTGGGAGGGGTGTCGCAGCCCACCACCTAGCCCACTACTCTCCGAGATCCAGGACTCGCCCCAAAAACAGATGCACTCGGTGCTTGTCTTCGCCGCGACTATGGGCGCCAGGAGGTCGATTCTAGAGGCGTTTCATGCGCTTTTGGATGAGTTTGTTTTGTTTTGGACATCATATCCCTACTTTGTGTTGGCCCTGGAAGGCCGCTTGGAAGGAGATTGGAGTGTTTGATCACTCTTTGGTTAATAGTGGGACAGTTTCCAGCACATCCCTTTCATGAACAACTTCTCCACCTCCCTACTCTGGGGAAACAAACACTTGAAGTACTACGTACGTAGGTCTAATTGCGTTGGTCGTTTTTGCGCATGATTCAAGACTGGGCTGCTGACCAGGGCATATACTGTAGATGGGTTGTCAGCATCCTGAGATATTTAGACGACCCATCTTGTGTGCCCCAGACCGCAGGATTGCATGTTTGTTTTCCGCATGGTTTTCTGCCCTGATCCGCCCTCCACGAAGGGTCAGAACAACCCAATCAAACCGATGCTGGCTGAAACAGACCAGTCGACCGGTCGCTACGTAGGTGACCCGTCGGGGCCCGGGCCGCATTGCGTGGCACGTGGCCGCCATGGGAGTCCCCATCGGCCAGGTTGGAATACCAAGAGCAGCTGGTGGAAGATGCACGCTTCGTGCGGCTCCCCGGGCCGGGGGAGAGCACCGTTTCGTTGAGAGATGGGGAACTCGGGGTCAGAGGAATTCACATGTCTTCTCATGTATGCAATATTTACATGCGTTGGGGTGGTTGAAAAGGGGTGAATGTAGGGAACTATGCAGTGTCTGGGATTCACAAATTCTTCCCAGGAGAATGTTGACTGCTGATTCAGATTGATTCATACCCTCTCCCGCTAGAGATGTCTATACAGTAGATGTATCAATATCTCCACCGGTTCATGATTTGTCAACCCGTCCACTACATGACTAATTAGGAGAGATGCCGAAGAGATCGCCGGAAGGGTTTGATGTCTTAGGGCACTGGTCAACGAGTGACCCCAATGACCCGAGCCCATGGACTCCAGATGTCTCGGTTTGAGCGCCTTTGAAGAGGTCACCGGCGACTAATGACTCTACGGCAGAAAAGCATGTTTCCATTAGTTCGAGGGTTCATGTATCATGGACCTTCATGGTCATTGGGAGCCTTCCAAGAGGTGGTCATTGGGACCCTTGCATCCTACAACATCCTACAACAACCAGCTCTATGCGATTGAGAGGCGGTGCGGGAGATGCCAGCTGAGATGATCGAGCCAGTGGCGGTTGAGGCTGGTCATGCGCGGGAGAAGGAGTACATTGATGAAGTCCAAACCATGTAGCTTGATGCTTTGAACCATTTTGAACCCATAATCTCCACTGCTAGTACCAAAATTTCCTTTCGGAACATCAATCAAAATTGAGTAGTAAGAATGACCCAGAAGATGATGTTTGCAGCTGTGGCCTTGGCCGTGGCCCTAATAACATGTGACTTGCAGAAAGTTGTGAGCACTCGTTTTGGGGCGAGAGCATTCATTAGCTGAAGGAGCATCTCTGACGGCAGGAGTTTGACGTGGCAGCTTCCATCGCACTGCTTGAGGTGTGGAGCCTTGAGGGACCAGTGTCGAAGCAGTGTCCTTGACTGACTTTGCTTCGAGCCGCCACCCTTGACTCAAATGTTTCTTGCGAAGCAAGAATCAACGCCAAGACTGGCAGGAAGTAATCAATAGGAAACGTTGACCCTGTGACACTGTTCGTGAATACGTTCATCACAGATAATTGTTTGTATTCCCCACAACTTCATGGTGTACGCGAGAAACTCTCGCCACACTTGACGTCCCGGATGATACGAACAATGACTATAACATATACTATAACCCACAAGCTGAATCTCAACGGTCAGGTCATGTTGTCCTCTCGAGTGGTGCTTCAATGTCCATCCTCAGCTTTGTCAGGACCAGGTGAAAGGACTAGCCACTGAGATCAAAGGTTTGCAGGCGCGTTGATTTTTTCCTTGTTCCTTGCATCATGAGTTCTGAGGCCGAGGGGAATCCTGGGCAGGGTAACTGGCAATTGATCCTTGGACTGATGCCCCAACAACGGATTTTGGGAGAACGGTGTACCGACCCGGCACCAGAGTGTGGTCAACCGACTTGGCATATCAACAATCACCCTACTATTATATATGGAAGTGCGTGCACGGGAAGATGTTAGGAACACGGAATGGTCACTC